ATATATATATATATATATGTTTATTTTATATTATATATATATATATATATATAGAATCCTATATATTCACGCATTCATCTAATTAAAATAGTACAAAGTAACACAGATATTATTTTTTTACACCATAATTAAACAAATCAAGATAATTTTAATAATACAAAAATCTTAATTAATATTTAATTTGTTCAGTATTCGTTTTTATCAGACAGCTTAATTATTCATTTCACTTTATATGTTTCATATTTGAAACGACTAATTGTAAGATTTATAAAACACATGTTTTACAAAGAAGAAATATAGGGTAATAATATTATTAATAATTCAACAATTCATCACAATAAAATTTATTATCTTGATTTGTTATCTTGATTTATTATCTTGATTTACAAGTATATCATAAATAAATTCTATTTATACTAAATTATTCATATATATATTATATTTTTACTGTTTAAACATACATATTTATTTACTGATTCATTGTATATAAATTTACGATTTTTAAATCAATATATGTATAAAAATCAGATCTTCGAAAAATTATTATTATTTTTAAAAACATCCGGATATTATGTTTATATATATATGCTTAATATATAGAATGTTTGACAAAATTTGCAACAAATTTCACTAATACGTTTTAATATTTATGGATTAAAATAAATTTTTAGTTTAATTATAATTTAGATTTAGTTACAGATTTAAATATAATTATTAAAACAAAAATTGTCATGTATAAATTATCAATTTTCAAAAATTTAAGCTAATTAAATATTATTGCAAAAATGTATGCTTAAAAGGAAATATTCACTATTTTACAAAAAATTAACATTAAAACTTAAACTTCGTAAGAACACACCATGCAATATGCCAGATTTCTACTAAAATCATCTATCAACCTAAATAAAAGTATGACGCAAACTTTATAAAACAGCAATAATACAATGCGACATAAACATTTGTATTATCACGTTACTACTCTGAGTTATATAATCAGGTCAATATGTATGCATTCTCTTATATCAATAATAACGCTATTCATTAAATAAACATTTTTTGTACCTGAAGCTTATCTTACAAAGCAGATACAAGCATGTAAAGTGCAGACAATAAGCATTAAATAATACTTGCTTACATAGTTTAAAATTTAAAAAAAAAATTGCACATAAAAAAAACGCAAACACAAATGTTTTAGATAAAAACTGCATAAGTCATACACGATTTCAGAATTTTTTTTTTAGCGTACATGCATCTATTAAATTGCAAAAATGAAGGTATACAATTCTAATCAAATTTGAGAAGCTGCTCGTAACTGTTCAGATTTATCCCAAGACTATAGCAACGATGGATTATTTTCGAAAATACGTCTAGGTTTATACCTGGAGAAACTGGAGGTGCACCGGCTGTAATATTTATGCTTGTTGAAAGGGACTCAGTTGATGGAAGTTTAGGTAATGGTGCAGACTGTGCTTGGATGCTGCTTCTTCGAGGTTGCCGATCCGCTGGTTCTACATATTTAGCACTTATTCAATTGCGCTCAATATTTATTATCACATTTTACGTCACATTAAAAGTAGAAATCGTTTTTGTCAGAGAACTATTCAGTGATTAGTTGACAGTAGACAGTCAAAATTTATATTTTCTACGTTACAAACAAGTAATATTAACATACAGTAGTAGTACGAATGTCGCAATATTATTATTCTATGTGCGATGGACGAGGTGACAGTTGCAAAAATGCGCGATTGTCTGCAGTTAAGTGAGAGATACATACTGCATGTTCATCTACCTAGTTGCATATATGTATGTTACACAAAAAGAAGGAAGATAGGCATGTTTAATTTATACATGCACAATAAAGAACATGCTTCAACTTTTATACTGCCGCATGCAGCCAAGCAAAATACATATAAAGTATATTTAAAAAAAAACTAAACATTATTCGCAAAGTAATATAATCAATAATCATCTTATTATATCATGTTTCAACAAATATCACAGTGTATGTAAATTATTATTATTATTATTATTAGCAAAAATAATTTAAATAGATATAATAAATAATTTAGATAGATTTGAAGACTTATAAACATAGTTTCCATACTATGTTTTTTCTATTATTTTATATGTATACATCGTGTTTTGTGGGAGGATCAGAACAGTAATGTTTATAAAAAGACTTATTGCATGGAGAAACGTTGTTCAAAACACAACACCAACTGAACTTTTGCATTTTATCCAAGGATTTATAACAGTCAATGTAAAATCACACAATTGTATATCGTAGGACAAAACCAGTAGAAAAGTGGGTCATAAAGCATGAATTATTATCCACAATAAACTACGGTGCTTATAGCAGTATAGGGATTCTTGCTATAATACGAGAATGGTTTGTTACCCACTCTCAAGTATTGATTTCCATTTTTCCAACAGTTAGACGTGCTACAGTATTTCATTCATATTAATAAGCTGCCATAAGTGTACATTTGACATATCTTCATTGTCAAGATTACTAAGCATTTTTGTATATAAAATAATATCACAAAAGAGAGATATGCAAACAATATTATTTTAATAAAATTGTATATAATGTATTTCATTTGTGTTAAAGGTATTAAATGTATTTTAAGGTATTGAATGTAAACACTTTAATTTTCCCCAATCAAAGACATTGTTAAATGTCCAAAAGATTTTAGGAAGTTATGTGAGTTTTGTAATTGTTTTGTAATTGCAAGAGTAAATATATTTTAAAGAAATTCATGCATTTGTAAATATAAACTGTAACATATAAATACAAATACTCTGGCCTGTGTACATAAATGTAGGTATTATATAAATGTAAAAAAATTGTTATTTGTGAGAGCATTACATAAATCTATTGGACCTTAGAGCACTAATAATAGAGAAGAGTTCTGCAGAAACATGCCACAATTACATTCTATATTCTTAATTGACTTAGTTCAAATGTCAATGACAAAGTTCTTAAAATAGTTTCATAAAATTCATAAATTTCTTTAGAAAATATGTGCCACAGTGTGTACATTTTGTATGTACAATTATGAGACACACTTCCTCTTAATTTCGTATTTTTCTCCTATTGTTGTCCTATTTCATATTTTTGGATATAAAGTAATTTATAATCTCTTATACTTTTATGCCTAAATATATTCCTAAGCTGTTCCTAATTTCATAATTTCTTATAAACTAATAACACCGTTTCAAATAATTATATCATTACAGATAACAAGTAACAGCTAGACACGTAAATAACAATTAACATCATTATAGTGTCTCGTGATAATAAAACGGTTTACATCTTGGCATATTTGACGTGTTCTTATTAAAACAGAAACACGACACACATGTTATACAATAATAGGACATGAAATAACACACTTACGACTGAGGGATCGGCTGACGTTTGGCGGTGTCATGGTCTTGTAAGTGTCTGCTGAACTTCCAACAGATACAGAATGAGTCTCCGGCTGAAGACGATGATGCTCTCCACCGGGCACCACAATTGGTTGCGAGCTCATTGCAAAATCTAGGATCTACAATCCGTAATCGTGATACCTCAATTTGACACGCAGTGACACACGCTACATCTTTTCCGCGTCATAAAGCCGACGAATGCAGTGACGGTCTGGACTAGTTCACGGAAGAGAATAATAAAACTGTCCAGGAAACGCTGGATGTGCGCTGCGAGGAATCCCACACGCGAGACACAGGCGGTGCGTGTTTACACGTCGTCGTACCCGTTGTTACAACGCGGGGCGGTGCGTTTCACCACATCTTCCGACGATCGGCTCGCACGACGGAGACAGAGAGACGTGTCAGTCCATACTCCATCGCGGCGGCGAATTACGCGGTGGAGCGGAGGCGATTAACGCGCGCCACGGCGGTGCGGCGGTGGAACGCAGGCGAAACGCGACATCGCGACGTGCCGGCGTGGCGCTCTTCTGCCAGGAACGACACTCGCTGCTCGCATCCGTCGTCGCCGATGACTCCCCGATAGCTAATCACTTCTGCCCGTTACTGCGGGTCGCCGCGCGCAACGAGGCCGAATAGGACACGACGACGTCGCGTATGGACGGCCGTGAAGCGCGATCACGCACCATCGATCTAGCCAAATCTACCCGCGCGGTCCTCTCACTTGACACTTCATGACCCTCACGAATCTCACGGTTCCTGATGCGAGGAACGAGAAAGAACGAGACGGATGCGCGCGCGCGCGCGCGCGCGCCATACACGATTCCCAATCGCGTCGCGACTGCAACTGCGCCCCACAATGATCGCGGCGTGACCGGTCGTAACGCGTGCCACACCAGTAAGGAAACTAAGGAAGAAGGCACTGAAGGCAGCCTTCCATCGGTGGTAACTTGGCAAGAGACCCGCGGGAGGGAAGATCTCAGCTCGCTCGCCAGCCGAGTTGACGGCCAAGTGCCGACGGTGTCGCCGCGCGCCGACAGAGACACTAGTATTGCTAATTCGTCGTGACACACGACGCGATCCCACACTGTTGTATCGCTGACGGCAACCGCGACAACGATTTTTTTTAGTTCGTGTTCGTTAGTGGATGGATCTTTCTTCGCTTCTCGTGGCGCTCGGGTTTAACGGACGGTCGAACGCTTCGCTGGAATGTCCGGCATTTTTTTTCGAAGGCGCAGTCGACCGTGACTGATGACGTTCGCGTACGCGGGCCCGATTGAATGGCTCTCATCGTTATCGCACTCCGCATCCGCCGGTTGACCTCTTCCTCTCTTCTGTCTCTCTTCCTCCTCTTTCTCTTTCTCTACTCTTTGAAAGGACCGATCGATCGCTGATATACGTGTGAATTTTTAATAATCGTGGCCGCCGCGCCCCACCCACGGCCGTTCTAATATTAACTGACATATCGGCACCTTAATGCCTGTTTCTCTGCCTTCGCCTCTGTGCGTTACAAAGAGGAGCATATCGTAATCGAAAAGAGATGCTAATTCTAGGCTAGTTAAAACCGGCGGTCCGCAAACTATATAGCGCTTCGTTAACCTCGTCATTCTATAATGGAACTTCCTGTAGGTTCTACGACGTCTTTCTAGCGAAGTTCGATTCCCTGTAAATTTGCTGAGAAATTTGCACGCGCAAAGTTACGAGCGCGCTCTGAGTATTCAGGATAGCCATCTGGCTCCGAATTGAACGAGTTCATTTTAGGCCTTACTTTACCCCGATTTTCCCTCTCTCCATTCGCATCGTGCGCAGAATCATGATACGGTAAGAAAGAGATAGGAAGAGAGGAATGGAGGGAGAGAGAGAGAGAGAGAGAGAGAGATAATAACTCGGCCGTCGTTCAACCTCGCACTTTATCGACACGATCTGCAAATTAGTTTAATGAATCAAACAATCTGCGCACTTAGTTTTTCCAGCGCCGTTCAATATAAAACTCGATAAAAAAAAAACTAGAAATCTTTCACATCGACTTAATACGTATCTCCGACGTATCTCCATTTTCTTTAAAAGAGCTTTCTACATACATATTGTAAGCGATTAACCAGTATTTAGGCATTTCAAAGTTGGCGCGCCTGATTCACCGATATCAGCGCGCCGGTTACAAGCAATCGATATGATCGATCGCTATCGATCATGATTATGCGCGCGGCCTTTAGCGGCGCCCCTGTCGCTAAGGGTGAATGCTCCATTTTGAAAATCGGAGTAACAGCAGACGAGTACTTCCAATTGTCGGAGTCAGACGTGCGGGCTGACTCCTCCGGTTTCGCGCCGGTGCTCGTTCTCACAGTTACGCCGCGTCCGCTAAGCTAATCTGTCTCAATAAAGCAAAGTAATCGTTCAAGTAACCCGGAGTGAAGTTTCTTGCCTAAACCTTCCTGTATTATCCTCGCGCGAAAGCATACGACGTGCACGTCTTCCCGCGATCGGACATCTTGACAAAGTACATAAAACTAAAGAAGAATAGAGTCTCATTCGAATAAACTTTATTACCTTTTTAAGCGGAAAGTTCAAAATTTTATTTCACATTCTTACAGCTCAGAAGTGGGATACCCTCCCAGTTCTCGCGTACGGTTTCCGGTACTCGCGTAATTGCTGCGGAAACGTTCGCTGCCGGTGATCACGTGCACAACCAGTGCGGTATACGTGTCCCTATAGTGTCGTACACGTGCGTGAAAGATGGATCTTGACCTTCAGAAGGCGGTAGAGCGGGCTCGTCTTGAAGAACTTACCCTCATTCAGCTTAAAAATGAGGCGTTGGCGTACAATATTCCAACTTCTGAAAACAGAATGGAAATGATTAATTCGATTTTGAAGCATTCATATCCAGAGAATGCCTCCGGCACGACCAGGAAGCAAGCCGGACAAACACAAGCAAAAGGACCTACAGATATTTCCCGCACCACGCAGGAGGTCCAGTATGTAGCGGAAAGCCCGAGGACGGGAGATTCCTCGCAGGACTTTCTAGCAAAGCTCGCCATGCAGATGCAGGAGCAGCACAGATTAAGCATGGAGCACTTCAGGCTCCAGCAACAGCAGATGCTGGAATCTTTCCAGGCATCGCACATGCAGATGCTGCAGCAACAGCAAATGTTCTTGGAACGGCTTACGCCGCCAATGCGAGCAGGGGATGTCCGGAGTAACCCTCTGCCAGCGGACGTGGAGCCAGGAAACGGGGAAGCTGTCGTGCCGCCAGTGCGAGTATTCTCGCCAGCACATTCGTTCGTCGGTACGCTGCCCCCAGGAAATGCCGTAACGCTGCTAGCACTCCAGATACCAGAATTCGCTGGAACGGAATTAGAAAATATTAGTCAGTGGATAGCCC